TGGCCTGAAGAATGCGCCCCAGATCTATCAACGTATGATCGATAACGCGCTATATGGGTTCACCCGGATCCCGAAGTCAGAAGACCATGGAAATACTTCGGATGTGTTTGAGGACGGAGAACCAGTGGATCCAGGCCGGCCTTCGGTGCTGGGCCGCAGATCATACATCGATGATATCCTGATCCCCGCCAATAGCTGGCATCAACTGTGCGACCGAGTCGAGGGATTGCTCGAAGCGTGCGATAAATGGAATTTGTTGATCAGCGTAGTTAAAAGTTTCTGGGGAATGCCCAAGGTCGAATATCTGCGTCATAAGGTCTCTCACAATGGACTGGAGGCGAACCCGAAAGATCTGTCGTCATCGACGGATCTAGCATTCCCTGGATCACTTCGAGCTATGCAGTCATTTCTGGGAAGTCTGAACTACTATAGTCGATTTATCGAAGACTACGCGATCTACGCGTCGGTCCTGTATGAAATGAATTGCGAGAAATCGACTTTGCTGCGATGGCGAAAGAGGCTACCCAAAGGCGGATCCAACTAGTACCGGAAGCAGAAGGTGCAGATCCAAGGTCACAGGAAGATCGGAACGTCGATCACCGAAGGACCTTGGATCCGGAGGCGCCTGATCCTACCGAGGTGGATCCGCGTTGGATCCATGCCCATCGGTCCTTCAGCGTGCTTAAAACCAGGATTGCTACAACTCCAATCTTACGACATTTTGACCTAGATCGGAAGGCCACAGTGGTGGTGTACGCTAGCGACTGGGCCATCTCGGGAGCCTTGATGCAAGAATACGACCTGATCTACTGCCCCGTAACGTTTGCGAGCCGTACTCTGAAGTCAAATGAGTTAAACTATGGGATCGCGGAGAAGGAAGTGTTAGCCCTTCTGAGGATCCTAGATCTCACGTTGGTTGGGCGTCCGATCCATGTGCTGACCCGACACTCAACATTGGCGTGGCTTTTCAGATCCACGGCTTTGCAAGGACGTCTGCCGCTCTGTTGTCGCCTTGGACGTTGGAGATTACTAAGTGTGCCAAAGGAGAGGACGAGATCTTGGGAACACTGGCAGCCAGTATCACCCCTAGATAAGAAGTGGATAAGGCGTTGATATCAATCGCCCCCAAAAAGGATCCAAGACGTAAGATCCAAGCTCCGATCCCCACGATCAGACGTGATGAAGAACTATATCTCGTCCGTTTCGATGGATCGGCCCGTGTCAAGAGAGGTGGAGGCGCCTACAGC